GTCAGTTTTGGTCACTTATGTTCTAACAAAACTGATTTAAAGTGGAACAATTATAGAAGAAGGCAAACAGAATGACAAGAAGCGGGTATGGATGTAAGCACAGGTGTATCAAAGTCCACCTTTAAAGCAAAGATTAGAGAAGGCTGGTTTTTCTAGTCTAGCTGAATGAAGGCTGACAACAAGATTGCTGTCTCTTTATGCACTAGAAAAATAAACACTGGGGATGGAACAAGAGCTAAAGGTCAATACTGGCACAAATTGTCACAAGGACAAATGCACATAAGCTTGTCATGAACACACCCAGACCAGAAATTGAAGTTCTGTAACAATTACAGAAACCAGGCATTAGGGTACTTCCTAACTGAAGGAGCAAAGACAAAAAAAAAAAAAAAAAAAAAAAAAAAAAAAAAAAAAAAAATTAACTTTTTAAACTGGAGTTTGATAGGTTTCTGAAGAGGATTATAAATGTTTCCCTGAGAGAAAGCAGCATGAGAGCTGACAATTGAAGACATCCCTTCCAGTCCTATGCTCTTCTTGATGTCTTTGCCATGGTGATATTTAGAAAACAAAGCTACAAAACATCAACTCACTGGTTTTTAGACACTAAAAATATCTGAAACCTCCAGGCTTTGAAAAGCACTCCATTAGCTGGGGAATGAGTTTCTGTAGTGTGAACTGATATGCTTATGCAAATGTTCTGGTTTCATACATCTCTAAAATGCAGTTCTCAAGAAGTCATGGAGAAAAATCGTTTAAACAATGACTGATTAACCAACCTAAATATGCAACACCTAATGAGGATTACGAATCAAAGTCAAGTCCCAGATTTTAGGGCTTTTGCCATCAGAAGAAAAAAAAGCTTTATTAGCTTTCAAAAAGCATATTCTTCCTATCCACCTCCTTAAATTCAAACAAAGAAGGGATTTTGTTCAAACTTAAAAAAAAACCCCAACCCAACCCATAACTGGATAAGGACCAGACACAGTCCAAATCCTTAATGCTTCAGAAAGCAGGGAGTACATAGAATGAAAGCATTAATGGAAACTAGTTTGGAACTCTAAGTACAGAGGATGATATCTAGTGACTGCTATAATACTGAATCTGCACTGCCATTAAATTTAATCTTTGATATTTTTATTGCAACCTGACCCACTATGACATCTCTAAAGAAAATTACATTGTATACTACTATTTCAAGAAGTCAAACTTAGCTAGTCATCTGGGCCATAAAATAGTAGATTACTCCATCAGGCTGGCTAAAGCAACTAGGAATAAAACTAGATTTACCAACCACATTATTTTTATTAGGAAATGTTTCAAAGCAGACATAATCCCAAAAGACTTTAGCCTCATACTATCCAAAAATACACAACAGAGAGCAGCAAAAACCATGAACTGCAGTATAAGGTACAATTGGTAAATGAGAGAAAAAAAATTGCAAGATATTGTGTAATATGTCATCCTATCAAAGCAAAATAAATTAACTAAATGTAGAAATAGAAAAGAATAAAAACTTCTACACAATTCATGTATTAACAATTTAAACCTTTGTTCTAAGATCTGACGTGTTAATAGGAATTGTTCCATTGACTCCCTGAACATCAATATTTAGTCTGTACTCCTTTTGCTTTCCTTGAAATTGCAAGCTAATATAGGTGCACTAAATCACAGCTAGAGAGCAAAATGTCCAGAACAGGCAGAAGGGGAAAAAAAAACAGTATCTTTAACAGCAATATTCCTGAAGAACTCTGGTATGGTAGCACTGCTTGCATTTCATTTTGGATCACAGCCACAGAACAGCTAAAGCACAGCTTCTTCTGTAATCATTCTAAATGGGGGGAACTGCTCATAATAGTAACAGGAAAAAAAAGCAATGAATTTACTTGGCAATCTTAACACTTCTCAGCAATTCCTTGTACCGTCATGTTTTCTAACAGGTATTCATGCATACATAATATATAGGTCTTTGTAGATCTGGAATGAAGGAGAAGTAAGGGATTTGATAGCTAGAAAGGCAAGTTTTAAATTTTAAATACTGTCAAAGTAGGTTAGAAGTGTGATGTGTGTTTTATCATCTAACCAAGCATTCATGTCTTTCTGTTTTAACTTTTTTTTTTTCCTAGGCAATATGATCACCTTAGGCAGTTTGAGGTTTAAAGGCTTTAGCCAGTGCAAAAAAAAATTATATATTTAAATTAGCCTGGCATTTGTTACCTTTTTTTTAAGAGTTGAACACTGTCTGTGTTTTACAGAGGTGGCTTTATTATGCTAGCTGCATCAAATGCAGAATATTAATCAGACTGTGAAACTCCACTAATTATGTGCTACATTTAAATAACTTAGATTTTGTTAAGTGGCACGACCACAGATATTGTATGCATAATCTGAGTTTTGAGTCATTTCCCTTTTCTTGTCTGATTTTATTCTACACAGGAAATGACAGGGTCATTTGGAAATAACTGCAGTGAAAGATCAAAAAGGAAACTTGATTGAGAACACTGTATAATTGCCTGTGCTAGAGAAAAAAAATTCCAATGACTTTACAACCCATCGCTATAAGATTTCTCTGGAAAACACACACTGTGGTTTCCCTAAAAGGATATCCATTACAGCACTGATTTTATTTGTTGTAGCTGTATCTCTTTTAAAGAAGCAGATCTTCTCCTGAGGGTGCTGGGCTTTTATTCTGTAGGTAATTTTTTCGGCACACATACTTGCTGAGCTAAAGCCATTTCAGTGGAAGCAAATCAATTCTGTTGAAGCAAGTCATTTCACTGACTTGTTTCAAAGTGTTCATTTGCAAAAGGAGATAATGCTGTAATTAAGCTCTTGGAACACCGTAGTTCTTGTTATTTGGGCAAAACTGGCCATTACAATTTAGAGTGTCCTGTTCCAAAAGAACAGGCTTTTATTCCTGGAGCTAAAGGAAAACTTAGACATTAGTTGCACTCAGCTCAGAGTCAGGATCAGATCCAGCTTTGGGCTGTGGTGTTCATGCAGTGGCCTTTCTTTTTTTTTTTTCCCAGTAAGACACCGGTCTACATAACAGGACAGCAGCCAAACTTTCAGCACAAATTTACTCTCTATTTTCAGCACATGGATTTCCCAGTTGATCTCCTATTCCCTGAGCAGATGCGCTGCAGAGCAAGTGATCCCAGGTGTGCTCCTGCCACAGCCACACACACCAAACCATGGCAGCCCAAAAAAACTGTTCATCTAAGGGACTGCAAAATAGAAGTAATGATCTCTTTTATGCATAAGAATTACTAAATAATACAAAGTTACAGCAAAAGAACTTGAAGACTCTGCTGAGTTCACTTCTCCTCACATTTTAACAGATAAAACAAGTGCAAATAATGCCATAAATTTGTATGTGCAGCTTCAATACCTTAAACTTTTACTTATTGAAGAACAATGCATCACCCTATCAAAATGAACTCTAACAGAATATAAGTATTGATTTTCTTGGGTGTTGGAGTGTAGTTGGACAAATTAAAAGCTCCCTGCCACGTAGCTCAGAATACAAAACAGATGGATTAAAGTGAAGTGGCATCATAGGTAAGAAAAGGCCATAGAGGAGTTAAAGATTGTCATGCAGGGTTTTGTGACAGTTGTAGGTGCAGATGGCACTTGTTGCTTGGATCATCACCAAATTCATTCCCTGAAATCCACTCCTACCATTGCCCAGAGGTGCTGGTACCCTCAGCAGAGATGGTGCTCCCTCAGAGCCTGCCCAGGGCAAGCCCTGCCCTGTGGCTGGGACAGTGCATGATGATCTCACCCACCAGAAAGGAGTCCTCAGGAAACACAAACACATTTCCTTTAAGCTAGTCTGAAACCTTCTAAGATTCATGATTCAAGTTTACACAAGAATTACTTAATCAAAGCCTCATTAAAATCGATTTTACCAATTAAGAAGTGCTAACCACCCATTGATCTGATTACCTAACACAAAACCCCCACCCTAACATAGTAATGCTGAAGTTCTGCTCTACCTTTGTATTGACAGTTTTTACACCTATTTTATCATAATTGGAATTTTAACCCATCTTGTAAATGACAAGAATAATTTCCAAATATTTGCACCTATGTCAAGACAAGTCATTTTATCATATGGCTACTTAAAAGCAACATGGAAAGCAATTATCCCACATCACCAGAGTCAAAATACCAGCTGAAATTGTAAAGGAATTTTTCCAGCGTGCTAATTTTAACTTCATTGTATGCTGATAAGCTAAAATATAAGCATCATCAAAAACAATACACTACTGTGCCCCTCTGGGCAATCAGTTGACTCTTAATACAAATTTAAAATGCAAATATTTTTTAATGTATAATAACAAATACCCTCAAAAAGCACAGTCAGGTTAAAGAAAGGTTTATTTGATTAATTGAACCTGTCCATTTGATTAAAGGCCATGTTTTGCATCAACACATTTTCTTATGTATTTTTTCACATGTAAGTTCGAACACATGACAAAGCTCACAGTGATGCCAACTCACTATTGTTAACTGAATTCTTTCAAAATGCTCAGTTTCTAGCTTGCTTCTTTCTTTATAGCCAGAATAATTAACTCTTGGTGGCTACAATAGAAACACAACTCTGTACATGCACATGCATACATGTCTATTAGGGCTGTGGTCAGACTAGGCATGGCACAGAACATTTTTTGATTTTGATTGCTGATTTTAAAGCAGAGTCAGACTCACTTTGCTAATTCAAATTACATGCATCAACTAACAAATACCTACACAAAAGTGTTCCTGATTTAACACAACTAACAACTTAACCAAGCAATGCATTTACACTTTTTTGAGATCCCAAATTAATTTTGAATATGAGGATCAAAACATCTTAACTTGCGCTCTTTAATCAGCCGTTTTACGTTAGTAATGCAGGGATGTTGACATGAAGTCGCTTTGAGCAATATAAAACATATGCCATGGTGCACTCGTTAAGGAACTCTGCATAATGAGTTCCATCTATATAAATGACTCACCTCATTACTTATCACACGTTCCTCTCTACGACCGTGGAAGAGGTATTCATACGCTTTATAGTGTTTAAATAAGCTGAAAGACAACATAACATAGACTATTACAGCTGTAAGTTTTTGGAAAGGTAACAATATTATGAGTTTTTTTAAACTAAGAGTTACCCTCCAGCATGGTAACATTCCAAATTTTAAAAAGAAACAGTCGTTTAACTTCAGATACAACAAGCAGCATATTTAGTTTGCAGGATCTATTATCAGATGTCTGTGGAAAATACAGTGCGATACTTAAAAATACATCCACTTAGTCCTTATGAAATTGACCTCCAAGAAGACAAAGTTCTCCTCTGAAAAAAGTAATTCCTGAAACACTTATCACCAGGATACTTATGCCTTTATTATCAGCAATAGCAGACAAGAAGGAAACAAAGCCAAATCAGCTTTCAGATTCTGGGATGGGCTGCCAGTACAGGGAGAAAGTTTGATCTTGGAACACCAAAACAATAAAGAATAGAAGTATTTATTCTCTCAAGGTCACTTTGCAAAATCAGTGTAGTATTTCCTCGAAGAAAAACTAAAAAAATAGATTAACACACAGCAGTTTTGTGTACTATAACAAAAGTAACTTTAAATAGACTTTGTCAATGGACTAAAATATTTATCTTCCTTAAACATGTACGGCTTTCCATCTTACATGTTTCAAATAATTTTCTTTGTTTCCTTTTCTAATGATCAACGATATAGTATTTGTTTAACCAAAAGTTTTGTCTGTCACCGTCCGTTACAATTAGTTCTTCTCTTACAATCATGATACAGAACTCCTGGCTTCTGTCACATCATTTTGACATATGATTTAAAACACTGCTCTGCGATTTCATACCAAGTCCAGGCTGAAGAATGATTCCAAGAATTGTTTGCCATCCTGCCTGCTGTATCTGTGAAAAGTACAGCAATATTTGCAGGGAACATCTGTAACCAGTTCCTAAGCTTTCTACCTAGGGACAGGACCCAGGTTCTTTTCTTGGGAGACCCATCAGCTGGGTCAGCAACACCTTTAGGCTGGTACTGGCAAGGCCCACTTAAAAAGTCTGGCTGCCATCAGCTGGAGGCTGCCTTCCCCCAAACCCTAAACCAAAGCACACAGGCAATTAATTAAATTTTTACAGTATTTGCAATTTCATTTAAGTACATTTTTATTGCAGCACTTCACCAAAGAATTCCTGACATGTGTCAGTGGAGACACAGATATTATGTTTAAAGAGAGTTCAAGACTTAACCTGGAAATGACACACACTGATTTATGTAAATAAATGTCGCCTTTCATACACACCTGTAATTTGGTAAAATTCTAACAGGGATTATTTGAAAAAAGACAAAAAATATTTTATGAGCATCACAGACACACAGGAAATAAGACATATATCCTTCCAATTGGACTGGCAGAAATTAATATTTCAAATTTGTTCTCTTATCCTAGTGCTTTGGAAATAAGCCAGATTTACAGCACCTAAAGGTCAGGTCTTTTCCTTCCCCTCCCCTCCAAAGGTGTTATGATATTCTCCATGGATTATGCTACAGGTATGTATAATTTGAAATATATACCCAAAAATATAAGTAATTATTTTTGGCATTTCTGAATTTTATGTCTTTATTTTTAAAAATATCTCTGTTCAACCTGGCACCCCTAATCCTGCATGAAGGAAAAAAATTCTCCATTAAATCCTCTTGAAATCAAATTACATAAATCAGATATCAACATTTTTTTATTTAGAAAAAAGAGTGTGGTTTTCTTTCTTCTATCAGGCATTATACAAAATGCCCCTTTTTGTTTCAATTTGATGTGAACAATTTAAAAATTCCATACCAGTGTTTCTAGCAATTACACAGAAATAATTTTACTTGCGTAAGTAATATTGTTAATAATAGACCCTCTTATGATGTCATATGAGAATCTGAAGGTGATTAAGAATGACATATTTCCCCAGCTCCACTGCTTCCTGAAAAGAAAATGTCAGGAGCTATGTTGATGTGTGTTTGCCCAAGGAGACAAGATAAAAAGATAACTGTCACCTTCCACCAAACCTGAAGGTATCATTATACTTGCTGCACAGTTTGTGCCAATGTGGTTAAGCATTTGTCCCTGTTTCCATTATAAATCCCATGGGTTTACAGCTCATCTATAAAAATGTGATCTGAACTACAACATGTCATACTGTCTTGAGTAGAAAAAAAGCTACAGGCTTATCATTTAAAATTAAACAAGAAAAAATATATTGAACTAATACATTAATTTGAATTGTAATAAAACTCAAAACTATTTCTGAGTTCATAAAGTTTAAAATACACCCATTTAAGTGTGCCAATTCCATTGTTATTTAGAAAAAAATATTCCAGTGACTGAAATAATGGATTGCATAAACTGGACACATATGGTACATTTCAGTGTATGTGTGCACTTCCACGACATCGCCACAGCACCCATTTATAATAAATTGAGCAGTTTGGACATACAACCACATATCTGGTGGCCAAAATACCATTCTGCTGCAAAAGTTTTGCAGCTTCATTCTATTCCTGCCCAGCTAATACTTTGGTTCAAAGTAGGATGGAGCACCTAATCTCTTGGATGAAATTCTTCTGACTTGTGAAGGAATTACTTCATGGACAAGATATCTCTCACAGGATAATTTACACAAGAGTTACAGACATGCTATTTGGAAAGAACGTTTGTTCCATATAAATATACAAAAGACAGACAGGAAGGCAGAAGTAAAAGGAGTTGAGACATCTTAAATGCCAAGTTTCCTTTTAGTTTAGGGCTAGTACTTGGCAGGACATTATTTTGCCTTGACTACAGAAATTTGAGATTTAAAGTGATGTTCCCATTTCTTATGGGAAGAATCTTAAGTGTTTTATATTTTCCATGAAAAAGAAACAAAAGAAAAAAATCAGAGAGTAGGAGAAAGTGACACATTTTATAGCCCAATCGTAAGAGAAATTGCCTGCAATGGGTTTAAATCTCCACCTGAATCCAAGTACTCTAAACTGGAAGTCTAATAGCTACCCTAGTATTTTGCCTTTCCTCAAGAGAAAATACTTTTCTGCATTCAGGGAAACACTCTAAAAACTCCCTCTTTGCTGCGTTACATTTTTCCTACAGAACAGTCAGAAAATTCCCAGCAAATCTACATATGGATCAGCCATGACCTTACTCAATTTTTATGCCCAACTGCCACAAATCCTCCCACCCCCATTTGGGTCAGAAAATGGGTTGAAGGGCTACAGGTGCAGTACAGTGGCTGAGCATATACTACAGGAGTAACTTAGTAATTTTCCATCTCCTTGCCCCTGACATTCACGGGTGGTTAAACCGCTTGAGAACCATTCTGTCCATCATGTACTGCAAACAGGGGTATGTCAGTCCAGCCACTGCCTTAACCACGGCACTCCAGTGGAAATGGGGTGTACACATTACAGTAACAACTTCATACAGGGGCATTACTGCTGCTATCAGACTCAGGATTTTTCCTCAAATAAATAATGAATGTACTGCTGTTTGCATCTCTTTCTGTGTGTCTGTTTAAAAGCTGAGACCTCTCACGAAACCTTTTCACGTACATACTGGATTTTTTGCTGATTTTGAAATACAACATTTTTATGACTCCTATATGATCAGAATCTTAATTCCGTAAGTACAAAACTTTAAATCACTTCACTCCACAATAACTGTCAAGGCCATACAAATACTTACAGTAACAGTCAAGATAAGATCTAAATAAGATAAATAAGATCTACAATTTTATTCAGATGGAATCTAAAAGTAGCTTTTAAAAGCAAAACAAGATTATTGCCCATGCATTACTCTGTTTTCTTTTATTACTTCAAACAAAACCCAAAAGGAATATTTTCAGCAGAATCTTATATTTTTATAAACCTTCAGTCTAAATTTATTTTTTGGGCTTTGACATCTGAGGCCAGGTCTTTACTGCTCCTTGCATATTGTCTCTTCTTTTTCATGATTTAAAGTTTGGTGTTGGCAGTATGTTAGCACAGTAGGAAGGTGTCCAGTAAAATAACAGCAAAATACTAGTAGTAGTAGTAGTAGTGTAAAACTAATAATATTTTAAAAATTGTTGGTGCTGTTGTTCTTATTCTTGCTGCTATTTTATCAGTCATTTTCCCACTATATTAGATTAATGAAATAAAAAACAGATTCTGTAGAAATAAATACCTGACAACCAAGAAATCAATGATTGCTTTGGATTGCTCAATGCTGAATAAATTCAGGTAACCTCCTTCTTCTGACTCAGTTTCTCCTATTCCAGTCATTGCTCTTTCAAGTTCTTTTAAATTTTCTCCCAAGGTCATACGTTTGCCTGCAAAGTAATCCCAAAGAACAAAACCATGTATAAACATGACAAGGTGGGATGGGGGTTTTTGGCCCATTTTAATTATAAGATTTCTTGAAGTTTTAGTTATGACCCACCACATAAAAACTTAAAAGCCAACAGCAGCCAAATGCTTCTCTTGCCATTATTCTCATCAATAAAGTGTCCATTAAAATTCCATTACAAAACCACCACTCTGCCTCCACAATGGAAAGATGACAATAATAGGTGTACAAGATACTACAGCTTCACCTCTTACCTATGCTGAGAGAACCACAGGCAGAAAAATATGCAAATTTGAGAGGCAGAGTATGTTTTTCTTTAAAATAGCTTACTGCTTATGAATTGTAAAAGATTATTCTTCTGACCATGCAACATAAGCCGTTAATACAGGAACAGATATTAAAAAGGGAGAAGAGTATTTTAAAGTGCTTGCAGTCATAATAGATTAAATATGAATATGCATAAGACCCTGCATGTATCATCAAACTTGGAGACATTTTTGCATCCTTCCAAACCAGATAATTACATTTTTACCCTGGAAATCAAAACCTAATGCCACAACAGGTTGGAATTAGAATTTAAATTCTGTTTGATAACTGTCCTGACAAAGAGGACAATCTGAAATCTATCAGTGCTTGCTGAACCTATAAAAATAAAGGATTCATCTTTTTGATTTGCACACAGATTCTGCCATCACTAGAACCATTGGAAATAAAAATTAAAAAGCTTCAAATACAATTTATCTTTTATGTCTAAAAAAAATCTACAGAAAAAGAAGGGGGAAATATCCACCAGTGGTGAAATAGATTTATTTTCCTCATTGTTTTATGTCTCTACTGATACACTCCTTGGGGTTTTTTGTACAGAAAACAAATTAAAATACTTAGAAGACTTCTTTTCTTTTATAGTTTTGCCCTTTAGTGGTACAGTAATCAAAGGCTTGAAAATTCTACCCCACTTTTCAGTAAGAGAGGCAGCACAATACAAATAACCATATGGGAAGGGACAAGAAAGAAACACAGAGAATGCAAAGGAAATAAGGAAATAGAAGTCAGAGTAAATGAGGAAAAGCAACAGAATCAGAAATATCACCCTTTGTAGGCAAGTGAAGGCACATAACAGGATCACCCAGGCCCTGAGTCTGTTGCCAACTCATTCAAATTTTCTCTTTCCTTCCTCTGCACACCTGATTTTCAGTCCCAACCACCTGTCTCAGGAAGACTCATGCAGAACATCTGTGAGGTAAGGAATACTTTACCCTCAATGGATAGAAGAGAATCAAATCATGTAACTCATTTTTCCTCCTCATCAAGCAACACCTCCAGTTTTCCTTGCTGCTTTACCTGCCTTAAACACATTTCCACTACTCTCCTTCTCTAAATCCATTCTTCCTTCTAAATGCTACCTTTGCTATTATGGCCAAGTCAGTTTAATTTCTCCAGGCTGACTGGGTCCAGTGCAGGGAAAGGAAAAGAAAGTGTCATTAATATAGAAGACATTAGAATTTTGCTTTTAGTTGAAATGTTTGGTAATTACAAGATAATTCATCTCAGTCCTGGGCTGTGAAGCAAATACAAGGTTCCTGCAAGCATTTAAAAACTACATTTTCTTTCTCTAAAAACCACGTATATCTTAGCCAAATCTAAAGGGATTTTCACAGGCCAACAAAAAGCAAAAAGCAAATTCACAACATTTTCTTGCCAAATCTTTACTTCAAAGCACCGGGGCATCAGACCTGTTAACAAAAAAAAAAAAAAAAAAAAAAAAAAAAAAAAAAAAAGGGACAAAATAGGTTGTTTTTTTTTTCCACAGCCTCTGTCTGCAAGCCCACGGAACTGGTTCAGTTGCAATTTTATATATAAAAATTCACTAAAAGCAGACAGAGCCATGGAAAATATCTTAAGCTTAAAGAGTTAAAAGTTTGGTAAAGCTTAATGCAACTAAGATGACATTCCTGAAAAATGTCAGTCAGTTTTAATAAGTGGTTGTGCTACCAGCCTGTTGTGTACACATGTATTACATGGTCTCATAAAACTAATTTGTGACGGGTTTCCATCCTGCTCCATTGTTATAGTAATATAGTTAGCATATGTTAAGATACTTTCTCATTAGAGACAGGAAGGACAACTGGAATTCCAATGATCATAAAGCACGTACATATTCTGTCAAAATTCCAAGTCAGAAAGGCCCTTGAACTAAATTACAGTGAAAGAGTACAATGACTGTTGCGAGTTTGATTTTAAAATATTCGTCTTTTGAATGAAACTGCTGAGTCCTTTCACTCTTCCTCTGGGATGGACTTTTCTCAACATAATCACCTTCAAAGTGAATGTTAAACAAGCATTAGAATCTCTGACAAAGAAGGTTTTAGAGGACAATGATACAATTTTTTTTCTGGCTATTTCATTCCCACTTGACCAAGCTTCATGCTTTGTGGCCAATTTCCTCATAGCCACAGGAGGTACCGTCCTTACATTGTCATTTTTCATCTTCAGCAGCAATGCCAGTTTACTTCCCTCACCAGTCCTTAGTTAACATATATTCTGTGCCACAAGTGCAGCATTTGCCATATAGGAAGCCGAGAGTTGACCTCCAAGGATAAAAAAAATGTAATTCACCTGCTGTAATGCTACAGGATGTACTGAATATCTCAAACAGCAGAGAAATGTGCCCAAGGCTACAGTGAGTCAGTCACTGAGAAAGCTGGAATTGGAATTTAGGAGCTCCTTGCTCTCACTCTACTGTAATTATTATTTATTTTACCATAGCAAAGAAAAGGTCTCTTCAGGACCTGGACCATTTGTACAACATATTGTACAAACAAAGAATGAGGAATATTCTACTCAAAAGACTTGAGATCTGCAAGTAAGAATTATTTTCAGGCACAAAGTCTAACATACCAACATTTGAGAGGAAAATAAATCATTTCACAATTACTTGTAATTAAATATCACTTTATTAAAATGACTGAGAAACATTCTTGTCTTCCACTTCAGATATTTATTTTACACATCTTAATTATACTTACTGCTGACATTCTCCAAGGAGAAATTTAATAGATCCAAGAATCGTGAGAGCTGGATAAGACTGAAGTTCATTTCTTTACCCCACCAAAATCCTGCAGCATAATACTCTAGTAAAATAGTTTCTTTTAAAGATGTCTTTCGTTGTGTAAGATTCAGAAATTCTTCCAGCTTCCTAAAAAAGTTGCAGAGTAAAATAATGAAATTAAAAAAACAAATTACAGACTCCAAGGTCTTACTTGGTCTGCATGCAATTGTATCCATAACATTTGTTTAGTTGCTATATTATTCATATGTGCATATGCACGTAATTTCTTGAATTTAGCTACATCAATTCCTAGATTGCATTTTTGATCAGAGGACATAACAAAAAGTAAACAATTGCCTGCAGGTTTCAGCAAAAACTACTGAAGTGTTAAGATATGACTAACAAAAGAACAAAAATTAGAGCATTACAAAACCAAAGAGAAATACACTGAAAATTCCAGAGGAAAAAAAGTGTTTCATCAGGAATTGGTTTGTGGGATGAAATGACACAATTAGTCTCCACTTTCCACTATCATGCTTTCACTCTGATTTAGATACCTTTACAGTAGTAATAAGGTCTTGTTTACATTTTAAGATTATTTTTCATGTGGCCTCTGATGAAAAATTACATTTGAAAATTAATGCAAATAATATAACGCATAATTATGGAAAGTAGCTAAAATATTTAGAAGTTTAAATTGCACTTGCGTAAGGGTCAAAACATTTAAAAAGAGCCTTATCCCATTTTACTGGCACACGATGAAAATTTTTCCACTTACTTTAACTTGAAAAATTTATGAAAAAATACACTCCCTTGTAGGAGGCCATACTGTTGCTGACACATTTATGTCTACTCTATCCAAACACAGAATTACTTACATCTTTTATAATAACTGTGTGCTTTTCCCCACATGAAGAGAGGGGATTGGTGCTAGAATTTGGTTTCAATTCTTCCAGTATAACTCTGGCCATGTCTCAGGTAGTTAATTTTTACATTAAAGCAATCCTTGGCTTCTTAACTACAGCTGAGGACACAGGTGCCAGTGATCAGAGTTTCTAGACGCCTGTGAAAAAGCAAGCTCTTCCCAAGCCCTACTGCCTTCTCATTCCTTCCTAAGAAGGACATTAATCCCGAACCTACTGATAGCAGCCATTTGATTTTCAGGGCTTTACCCAACACAGTACAGATACACTGTCAAAAGAGATCAGTTTCTTTCTTTAATTAAAACCTCAATAGCTAACAGAGTAAAGCATATAATCCAATCAGTTTTGTTTAAAACATGTATTCCTTTGTTCTGCATGACAAATTTGTATGGCTGCACACATGCAAGTCGGTTAAAAACACTTAAATTGTGTCCTGGAATAGAAGTGGAACATGGCCAGCTGAACTTTCCAAGGTTTGAAACAGTCCATATCCTCTCTCTCTGAAGCTTCTGCCAACTCTGTGTTTTCATAATCAGAGCTTCTCAGGGATTTAGATTTTCTCTGATTCTGCTAACAATGTCAGTGCTCATCTTTCCAATATTCTGTAAGGCATGTCACTGACAACAGGATCTGTACATGCTTGCGAAATGATGGGGCAGTTACATTCCATAGTTACCCTCCCTGCTTTTTCCTTCTTCATAGGGCTCAAGTCTCACCAAGATGGACAGCAGTACAAAACTCCCTGATAGATGGGAATGCAGGACATCAAAACTCTCAGACTCAGTCAGATCTATTCTGATTTTCTAACCTTAGCTGTGGCCTTCAAACTGCTCTTGTAAATAGACACAACGCACTGTGGTAAACAAAATTTTAATGCTGCTGCTAAACTGCTTAGTGGGCATAAAATACCCTGTAACTATGCTCCTTCCAGTCAGATACAGCATATACTTTACATTTCCCTTGTACAGCATGTATATATAAATACATGTGTGATCAGCTGAGACTAAAAGAGCATATGATCTTTCAGTGCTTTTCTTTTTAATCTTGATGAGAAAGTTGCACAAAGAATTGTGCACATTAAGCACATTTTAGTCTCCATGAGTTGTACACTTCAGTCTCCTCTAAATTTAAAGAGGCCTATTGTGCAAGAGAGAACAGGAAAGGAAAGATTTTTTTTTTATTATTATTTGATGGTGGCGAATTTTCTTTCCAGTTTTCTTTAAAAAAATCCCAGAAAAACCTTTTCTCCCTAGAATAGTGACAAATAGGAAGAACAGAATATGTTTCAGGAATATTTTAATCTCTATTAAACGCTTACCTATTCAGAGGAACAAAGCTGGATTTTATATACCCCCCACCTCTTCCTTCCCAAACTAGACCAGCGGCCCAACCCTTTGGCTTTCAATTCCCTAAGAACCTGCTAGCAGACACAAGCACTCCTAAATAATTCTTGCACTTCTAAAAAGTCCAATTTTTCAAATATAAATCTGGAGTCTCAGGTTGAACTCCTGGCCTCCTAAATTTAGCTGCTATTAAACACTAATAACAAGGGAGAGTGTTGGTACAGGAAAGACAAAGGCAGCCTGACATCAGAAGTCTTTGGCTGCCTCCTACTTCCCCAGAGCACCATAATGGTGACCTACTAATGCCTTCTTAAGCTTTCCATCCCTTACTGAACTTTTAAGACCTTTTTGATTTTTTTGGTAACTCATGTTACAGTACAGAATCTTGAATGTTTTAGCAAAAAAAAAAACATTACCAAAATAACTTACCAAAAAAAGCTCAGTATCGGTCTGTTCTTACTTACATCTTAGTATTTTGTTTACAGCGTATTTAAAGCTACTGTAAATTCAGAAACCACGACAAGGTGAAATACAAGTAGAAATAAAGGAGTCTAAGCAAAATTAAAAGATATAGGAAAAACAGTAAACCAGACTGGATCTGAGATCAAAAGTCTTTCTGCCATCTTTTGTGAATAATGTTAAATATCAATGATTTAAATGAACAATTAAAGACTAACGACATAACCATCACAAAAGAAATCTAACAAACAGTCTGCAATTTTTATTTTGTTATTATAAATATTTTGTTATTATTGCCGTTGCTGCTACTTACTTTTCAACTCCTTCCAGATCTTCTTCTAACAAGGCAGTTATTTGGGAAAGAGAAAAAAATCTCCTATTAGGAATCTTTTCTCCACCTACATCACCCTGATCTTTGTCTTCATTCTGATCTTGGACTTCATCCTGCATACATGTACATAGGAATGTAATTTAAAAAATGTTTATTTTATTATGTCAGTAACTTACCTAAATAACATTTTTATATTGAGGAGGTATGCAAGGGATTAATTCAACAAATGTCAAAAATGCAAGACAGCTGTAATTATACAGCAGTAACACAATACCTTAACACATTCTCACTAGAGAAAAGCTAGGCAGATACACGGAACACGGTATTTTTATCATAAATCCATATGGGAACACACTGACATATTATGTGCTGCACAAGATTAAATTAACTTGCAAGTAAAAACAACAGAGATTTAAAGGTGCAAAAGAATCCATGAATCTAAATTTGACCAACATGATACTGGATTGCACAATAATTAAATTTTAAAATTAACTTTCTCCTAAACATATTGTAAGAATACACAAATATTACTATGCTATTTTCTCTCCACCATGTACTTGATTGCATTTTCAAATTTACTGTCTACACTCTCCCCTTCCCCTAGCCAAACAAAAGTCCAAGATGTTTGCTGCAACAGAATATTACACAAGGATCTGACACAACTGTTCCTAGGATGTTTTAGGGAATAACAAACTGAGCATGAACTAACAACGCAATGGTCTTTGAAAAAATAGGAATATTTGATGATATTTTGTGTTGTCATTGACAAAAAATGAAATTTCAGAAAATGCAAATAACAGTAGGAAAAAAATCCCCTAAAACTGTTTCACAATAGAATATGTAGATGACAAAGTGAGGTGTGAGATGAAGCAGCCCCTTCAGAGAGGGGCACTGCAGGGGAAACAGGGACAATGGTCATAGGACTGTGCTCCAGTTGAAAGGGATCCACAATGGGGCAGCATAAGGAAAAATATTTCAGCATGAAAATACTTAAGCATTAAATAGATAACCCAGAAAGGCAGAGGAGCTCCATCCTTGCAGGCTTTTCAGACCAAACTGGACAAAGCCCTGCTGGGCACTGAGTGCTGGCCCAGCTCTGATCAAGTAGCTGAGCCAGTCCCAAAATGCCTTCCAGCCTCCTGCTGGGAGTCTGCCTGGCTTGACCACACAAATTGCTTGCAGCAGGTACACTTGTACATCTGCAGGACCTGGGGTTTAGAGAAGTGCAGCAAGGCAAAGCCTGCAGAACCCTGCTTCCAGCTCACACAGGGACAGCGAAGCAGAATTCCTGATTTTTGAGCCTGACCAGCACTGCTCAGAGCTGATACCAAGGCACTGCAGCGCCGGTCAAGGCGAGCCCCCAAATAAAGCTACACTACTCCCCCTGCTGCTGCATAGCTACAAGTTGTACTGAAATCCTGGGACTAGCTGAAGAGCCACCACAGACAGGAGGGACAAAACAAGACTGAGAGCAACAAAGAACATTCATTCCGTGGACAGACTATTCTTCTCCTCTCTAATTAATTACTAGAGTACTTTCACATACACTTCAATAAGAAAAAAATATTGTTCCCAACTGTCAACAAGTCAATCTCAGATAAAATATCTCATAAGAACACGAATGAAATAAATGAAGGCTTCCTTCACATAGTTACAAGCATGATGCTAGCTTGCTTTTATTAGAAGTAATTTAAACAGCATAAAAAATACTCCTACAGTCAGTAATGCTGCTATAATTGAAGCTGCAGGGAAAAACTAATAGCACAACCTGCTAATATACAATTATTGAAAGACATATTTAAATAAGAAGAAAAAATATAAATGCTTTCCTGAAGTGGTGTTAGACACCTGTTGAACATGAGATTCCTTAGAAGCTCTAGGGGATGAATTAAATGAATAACTGATATTAATGTTTTGGAAACTGCTCCTCCCTCACTTTCTGTTAGGATGTTCAATACATAGAATACTTTAGTATTTACAGTGACCACCACTATATAAATTACTGGTCAGCCAGTCAACATCGTACTGGGCGTAATTGTTAGTGAAACGCTAATATTTTACAAGCTGCAGTTTAAACCCAAGAGATAGGCAGCTGCTGTAACTAACTCAGTGCTGCAGATAAGGCTCCCTAATCTGCACATGAAACCACAACAGTTTACAGGGCAAGGTGAATGCTTCCCAAAAACCATTTCATCACCTGAAGGAGGCTGGAATAACATTCCCAGCAGCAACATTCCCACCAATGTATTACTGGTTTTGTTAATGCTCATGATAAGGATGGGTACCACTGTCCACTATAACAAGCACAGGTATCAGATAAGAAGAAATACTGTTACAAATGACAGATGAGGAACTATGGGAGAGAAAGCACATAATTTAATTTTTTTTTTTTTAAATCAGTAATCTTTCTGTAGTTTAAGAAAATATTGAAGGTCCATAAATAATTTAAACAATCCTGTGTTTATAGACAGTTTCTGTTTGGACTGAACCTACACACACACACCTGACTAAAAGCTTACAATTATTTTGATTGATTGCTTTCGCCTCTTTACCCACTACTGAAAACACCGGGAGATTATTTTTATATGCGTTCACTGGTGTCAAAGAATTTACTGTTCATTTTAGTGTTAACTGCAGGGACTGACTGAGGTAATCCAAGGTGAGTCAATTCTAGTAATGCTGTCTTCATGTGTCAGGAAAAAAACTCCTGAAACCAATCCTACCAATGCCCATTCCCAGCAGCAGACTGCCTATTTAAATACAGGCCGCTACTGGAGAATTATTTGTCACAGTTTTATTTTCCTTTGAAGGATTTTTAGCTGTTCTGAATGCATAATATGTTTCTGGCTGTTCAATACATTACTCCAAATGCTGTGGGCATCCCTTGCTAACAGCATCAAATCAAAATACCAAACCAGGCATTCTAAAACTAAAAAGTAAGATCCTTCTAAATCTCTCAGTCAATTTTCACAAACTACCATGAATCAGGAATCAGCAGCAGCAGAGTGATAAAGTTAAACAGCAAATTGCAAAAATCCTCTGTGTTTACAGGGGTGGGGAAGAATCTCAAAACCCCAAACCTGTACTGAGTCACCCCTGGCTAGGAAAAATGCCCCACTACCTGCAGTTTTGGCGAGGGACTTTCCAGAGTGGCCAAACCCTGAAACACAGCAAATGAAATGAGCACCAGCATTCCTGAATTAAAATAAACTCCTCCTTTGGGATGAGCCTTCTGCAGTGGCTGAAGATAGCATTTGCATTTGTTTGACAATACACCATCACGCTTTGCAAAATCATGGCTTCCAAAAACATACACACAAGGGAACAGCACATCTCATTAACTGTAGCAAATACTCAAAGCATAAGGAACCCAAGATCCTGCTGTCCTCACCCTACCAGGGAAATCAGACTGGACTCAACTTTCCAGTAGCTCATGTAAAGCAAGCTCAGCTGCTCTGCCTGGGCTGACAGCAGAGCAGATGTACTGGAAGAGCACTGTATATCAGTTACAACTTTAATCAAAATGGGAATGAAAAAAACCCAACCAAACTACACCGGCAACACAGGCTGTTATTTGTATTATTATACACATTTTGTTATCAAGCTGTCAAATGCTTCAGCAGCAGCAGAAAATCCTGAAACTTTCTACACAAATAGTTAAGGCAGAAACAGAAACACATTCAATGTTCCTGTTTGTTTTTAAAAGGCCCCACTTGCCCGCTCCCACAATGGGAAGTTAAGATCAATAGTTGCTATTTTTAGTCATAAACATTTCTTTTGTCATCAAACAAATGAGGAAATAAAAATAGCAGCACTCATTTCAACTGTCTTCAAAAGGGAAATATGCAGATGTGTCAAATGCAAAAGACAAAACCTATAGGCAAAGAAAGCTTTTAAGGAACGCTATAAACATGATAGTGTCCTTTTAATAACAAAATATGTTTCAAAAATGTCACAGTCCATATATCATGATTTATGGCTGACTAAATATATGATGACAGTAAATTTTACTGATGTTTTCACAGCTGCAGACCACTTATGAGAAAAATGTAGTTAAAAATAAAGCAGCAGCAAGACTTAAATCAGTATTCAGATTTTCTAACAGACCTTCTGCTGAAAGTCATTACAAGCCATAACAATTATAGAAGTATTCAATTTAAATAAAAAGGAATTGTCTCAAAATATAAAAAAATTATATAAAGAAACAGTACCAGAATACAGTGTTTCTTACACCTTATATCGGGACCATGCTAAGCTACCTTCAGCCAAAACTAGAGACTATAGAATGCCATTCATAAAAACACACAATTCCACATGGTTTCCAACAAAAAATAAATCATAAAGGATAGACATAAATATCACAAAGGTAAGCTACTATGTGTAGAACAAACTTCAATACATAAGGAACAGAAAACACATGAAAAAAAAGTTCACTGAATTCCTCTAAAGATTCTTTTTATAAAGCCATGAAATAAAAACTACAAAAATTTCAATGGTACATTTCAAACAGATGTATAATATATTTTTGACAGCCTGTCGTGTCCCATAGAGCACAGCCTGTACCCTTTTACTCTGATCTGACTGCATTACCCCAGTGTTACGCTGCTCCAACTGCCAAAATATTTACAGGGAGCGCCAGCGGAGCGCACTGTGAAAGATGCATATATTTTTCATAAAGCATTCAGAATACTTAGCAACACATTTCACTTGGAAGAGGGTTTATTTATTTAAGGAAACCTAATTGGTAAACTTTTGTACTGACAAAGACACAACCGTGACATTGGCTGAAGGTGCTTAATCACTCCCACAACAGTCACAGCAACTTCTTGCCAAGTGGAGACAACAAAGCAGTTCAAGCAGAAGAAAATTATCTTGTAGTAGCTACGACTACATAGACAGGCTTGAGGGAGAAATTCTGAGTTGATGCATCACCTCATACATTCTTGGGAGGAATGAATTTTATTCTTATATCTCCTGACAAGCAGCATGAAATGAGTTGCCTGTCAGAAACCACACCTCTGTCAACCAAGTCAAAAAAGGAAACAGGAAGAAAACAGGGAGGAGGCCAGACAAGCAAATAAAGCAAATATTAATGCAAA